GGGTTTATTTTCTAACCCTACTATGAAAGCTGGACAATGAGGAAGATCGAAGAATTGATGCATTTGAATTTGTGGTGTTGGCGAAGAATATTGAATATACCACGGACTGCCAGAAGAACGAACAAATCTGTCTTGGAAGAAGTACAGCCAGAATACTCCTCAGAAGCAAGAATGGCGAGACTTCATCTCACGTACTTTGGACATGTTATCAGGAGGGACCAGTCCCTAGAGAAGGACAACTTGCTTGGTAAAGTAGAGGGTCAGTGAAAAAGAGGAAGACCCTCAAGGAAATGGACTGACACAGTGGCTGCAATAATGGGCTCAAATATAGCAATGATCGTGAACATGGTGCACAAAAGGCAGCGTTTCATTCTGTTGTACGTAGGTCTATGAGTTAGAACCGACTTGACTGCACCTAACAACAACAACTCTGTCCTACAGGGTCGCTGTGAGCTGGAATTGACTTGACAGCAGTGGGTTTGGGTGGGTTGGTAACCCTTAACATTTATGTTAAAACAGACAAAAAGAACACCCCTACTGAAAGAAGCCAGACACGTAAGAACACATACTGCACAATTCCATTTACAAAAATTGTAGAAAATGCAAACTACAGTGTATAAAAGCAAATCGGTGGCTGCTTGTGACTGGAGGGAGTGGGAATGAATTGCAAAGCGGCAGCACGAAGAATGTCTTGGGAGCCACGGGAATGTTCTGTCCTTGGTGGTGGTTTCCCAGGTGTGTATACGTAACTGTCAAAACTCACTGTATTTCAAGGGAAAGATTAGTCCAAAGGACTAATGGACCACAGCTACCACGGTCTCCATCAGACTGAGTCCAATACAACTAGACGGTTCCCGGTTACCACCACTGACTACACTGACCAGGATCACAATAGAGGGTCCCAGACAGAGCTGGAGAAAAATGTAGAACAAATTCTAACTCACAAGAAAAAAAAAAGAGGGGACTTACTGGCCTGACAGAGACTGGAGAAACCTGAGAGTATGGCCCCCAGACACCCTTTTAGCTCAGTACCGAAGTCACTCCTGAGGTTCACCCTTCAGCCAAAGATTAGACAGGCCCATAAAACAAAACAAGACTAAAGGGGCACACCAACCCAGGGCCAAGGATGAGAAGGCAGGAGGGGACAGGAAAGCTGGTAACAGGGACCTCAAGGTGGAGAAAGAAGAGTGTTGACATGTCCTGGGGTTGGCAACTAATGTCACAAAACAATATGTGTACTAATTGTTCAATGAGAAGCTAGTTTGTTCTGCAAACCTTTAACTAAAGTACAATTTAAAAAGAAGTTAAAAAAAGAAACTTACTGTATTATATACTTCAAATGGATACAGTTTAATGCACACAAATTATACTTCAAAAAAGCTGATTTAAAAAAAAAAAATTCCCTTACTGATTAAGGGATTAATTTAGCTAAGAGGTGAAGTAAGGAGGCAGTAAGATGCCCTGGTACCAAGTGATTATGCATAACTCCTTGGAACTTTTTCTTATTTTACCGGTATAGTGAGCTGTTTTCATATTTTCTTTTTCTTGTAAGTAAAACTCCCTCATGTTTTGGAGCACAAAAAAGATGAGATCTTTTTTTTAATTGGTTGAGATGGAGGAAGATTACTAAAGATCATTGAAGTGAGGAAAAAGAAAAGAAAACTACGTGTCAATCTACCCCAACAGTAAGATCTAGTTTTTTATCTTACGAAGAGGACACGCACATACGCATGCTGGCTAGGAGTTTGGAAGGGCAGACAGCAAACATTAACAGTGGTTATCTCAGGATGCTGGGGTTATGAGCGCTTTTCACGTCTTTATACTGTTGTGTTGTATGAACACAATGAATGTCCATCGCCTTTATCATCAGGAGCAAAAAAAAAAAAAGAACACAACAAAAGCATTATTTATGTAACAAAAGCAGGCTATGACAAGGGTGGGCTTCGTTTTACTCATTGTGCCTGGATGCACACCAGGGAGAAGTCGAGTTGTACATAGTAACTCAAGAACACTGGATTAAGGTTCTCGAAACCTCCATTCAAACCCTAACTATACCAACAATGGCTACTCAAGAGCCATTTACTCTCTCTGGATTGCCATCTCCTTATCTATACGATGTCATGTTGTTGTTAGGTGCTGTTGAGTCAGTTCCAACTCCCAGTGACCCTGTGTACAACAGGAAACACTGCCTGGTCCTGCCCCATGCTTATAATCATTGTTACGCTTGAGCCCATTGTTGCAGCCAATGTATCAATCCATCTTATTGGGGGTCTTCCTCTTTTTCACCAACCCTCTACTTTACCAAGAACAAGGTTCTTCTCCAGGGACTGGTCCCTCCTGACAAAATGTCCAAAGTATGTGAGATGTAGTCTCGTCATCCTTGTTTTTAAGGTGCATTCTGGCTGTACTTCTTCCAAGACAGATTTGTTCATTCTTCTGGCAGTCCAAGGAATATTCAATATTCTTCATCAACACCATAATTCAAAGGCATCAGTTCTTCTTTGGTCTTTCTAGTCACTGTCCAGCTTCCATTACTGCCAACGTGCCTCTGTCTCAGTTTCCAGAAATCCCAGCTCTGTGGCAAACAGACAAGAATTGTGGTAACTGATCCCATTTCAAAGGATTGCTGGGGGAAGGATGATAAACAGCCCTCACTCCCATCTGCCTCAGTCTCCCACGAACCACTTTCCACAATGGTACCTCTTGCCGCCGAGTCGATTCTGACTCACAGCAACCCTACAGGACAGAGTAGAACCACCCCATAGGGTTTCCAAGGCTGTAATCTTTACAGGAGTAGGCTGCCACATCTTTCTCCCACAGAGTGGCTGGTGGGTTCAAACCACCGACCTTTTGGTTAGCAGCTGAGCACTTAACCACTGCGCTACCAGGGCTCCTTTCTCCATGATGAATAGTGAAAAATGAAAAGAAAAAAAAACAAACAAAACCAAAGCCACTGCTGTCAAGTTGATGCCAACTCATAGCAATCCTACAGGACACAGTAGAACTGTCCCATAAGGTTTTCAAGGAGCGGCTGGTGGATTTGAACTGCTGCAGGCATAAATCCACTTACAGGCTTCTTGCTAGCAAAAAAGCAAAGTCATTCTAAGCTAAGACACAAGCCAGCAGAAGCTTTTCCAGGGCCCTCGATGTAGAATCTTTCTTCTCACCCAGCAACCTTTGTGCTGGGCAGGATTTCACAGCTTCTCCATCCATCACCGAAAATATCCAGTCACTTAAAACAGCTCTGGAGCAGCACAGAGCCAAGCAATTAGCCATTCATAATGGCCCCTCTGTCAAGCGGTCATTAGTTTAAAATAAACAACGCAACCACAGCCAGCGTTTTCAATGTACAATAGGGCCTGCACACAACGTGACAAATGCCCCACACAAGCACTGAGAAATACGGGAGGATGTTGGTCAGGAGCCCAAGGCTCTAACTGGCTTTAATTTTTAAAATTCTCATTGAGTAGGGACAAGTGACCACACATACACATCCAATATTAATTGGAGAATGTGGTTTTAAATTCTGACTAGAAAAAAAAAAAAACGATATATACAATTCATCAGAAAGAGTGGGAAGGCATTTTTTGGACTTCTGGTCTCCTCAGCATTTTTTTTTAATCTGTGATTCTCACCTGAGAAAGTTAGGCTGAGTGCCAACCTACTGCCGTCAAGTCGACTCCGACTCCCAGCGACCCTACAGGACAGAGCAGAACTGCCCCACAGGGTTTCCAAGGAGCGGCTGGTGGATTTGAATTGCCGAACTTTTGGTTAGCAGCCTGAGGTCTTAACCACTGCACCACCAGGGCTCCAGGTGAATGCCAGGTTGCCTAAAATGTCTAACTTTCTTCCAAGGTGCCCAAATTCTTGAAAAGTAGCTTTTTTGGTTTTTTTGCTACCAAGGGGACGACTCAGAGTGATTGAAAGGGTTATTCACATTTAGAATTCTTCCCCCTCCCTTTTTTTGGTAGACGCAAACTAAAAAAAAAAACAAAAAACCAAACCCACGGCCGTCAAGTTAATTCTGACTCATAGTGACCCTATAGGACAGAGCAGAACTTCCCCGTAGAGTTTCCAAGGAGCACCTGGCAGATTCGAACCACTGACTTTTGGTTAGCAGCTGTAGCTCTTAACCACTGTGCCATCAGGTTTTCCAGACACCAACTAAAGCAGCTCTGATTTCAACCAGATCCCAGCTGGCCATTTCCCATAGTCAGGAAACAGCAAGGGATGGTGAGCAAAGCTTTATAAGGCAGATGTGAATGAGTCAGGAGCCCGAGTGTAGAAACTGTTCCTTTTACCCTCTCAAGCCACTGGCCTGTAGATAAAACCCAAACCCAACCCACTGCCATCGAGTCGATTCTGACTCACAGTGACCCTACAGGGCAGAGTAGAACTACCCCATAGGGTTTCCAAGGAGCAGCTGGTAGACTCGAACTGCCAACCTTCTGGTTAGCAACCAAGCTCTTTAACCACTGCGCCACCAGGGCCAGAAGATGCTGCCTCTTTAATCTGATCTTTTCCCTTCACTGGAAAAGATACAACTATTCTTAGAGAAACCTTCCTTGACAGCAGACTTTTTTTTCCTTTAAAAAGAACAACGAACCAAACCGAGAGAGTAGCCTAATTCAGGGAAAACAAGTCCCTTGTCCTGCTCAAGATAATAGGAGAAATACATGAATGAACGAACAGAGTAATTTGCTCTCGGGTAAAACCCTGCAATCAAGGTACTCTCGATGCTTCCCGACTAGTCATGTTGCCAATTTCCCAAAGAATAAAAGATAATTCTCCCAGATTTACAAATAACAGCAGACTTGAGCCACCCAGGAAAGGCTGTGGCCGAAGAGGAAGTTATGAACAAGGCCCTGGATTCACTATTCTTCCCTGAAATAAGTGTGCAGAACACAGAGCCCATTCTTCAGGATTACATTCAAGAATGCTAACGTTGGCCCCACATGACGACTCCTGTCCTTGAGTAGAAATAACAAGGTTGACTTTACCTTAAGAGCACCACAAAGTTCAACAGTATCCGCATCATCAACCACCGTAATCCGAAAATTTGGAGTCTGCAGAAGTTCTTTGAAGAGAAGGCCGTTCTCCATTACTTTGCTGCCTATTTTAAGGTTAGAGAAGATGAAAATTAGTAACAGTCTCTAATCATAACTTTCACATCTAATTCAGTTTAAGCAGACCTGGTGGCCCTGTAGTTAAGTACTCTGATGCTAACCGAAAGGTTGGTGGTTCAAAACCACCAACCACTCTTAGGAGAAAGATGTGGCAGTTTGCTTCCATAAAGATTTACAGCCTTGTCTGACAGAGACTGGAGAAACCCCGAGAGTATGGCCCCCAGACACACTTTTAGCTCAGTAATGAAGTCACTCCTGAGGTTTACCCATCAGCCAAAGATTAGACAGCCCCATAAAACAAAGCAAGACTAAAGAGGCACACCAGCCCAGGGGCAAGGACAAGAAGGCAAGAGGGGACAGGAAAGCTTGTAATAGGGAACCCAGGGTTGAGAAGGGAGAGTACTGACATGTCATGGGGTTGTTAACCAATGTCACAAACAATATATGTATTAATTGTTTAATGAGAAGCTAGTTTGTTCTGTAAACCTTCATCTGAAGTACAATTTAAAAAAAAAAAAATTATAACCAATGCCATAAAACAATATGTGTACTGACTGTTTAATGAGAAAAAAAAAAAAAAAAGATTTACAGCCTAGAAAACCCCATGGGGCAGTTCTACTCTGTCCTACAGGGTTGCTATGAGTCAGAATTGACTCAACGACAACGGGTTAATGCCGTTTAAAACAACTTTTAAACTGTTCATTATAGGAAATTTAGAAAATACTAGGAGCAAAAAAAATAAAATCATCTGGTAATTTCACCAGGAATGATCACTAACAATTTGGCATACATCTTTGACTTACAGAAATATTAATAACAATACGTACTGCTTTTCTCAAAATTGGGAATATGCTGTACATATGATCACATAACCTGCTTTCTTCAAATTTTACAGCATGAATATTTCATGTAATAATATGTATTTTCTGTATCATTGTTAATGGCTACACAGTATTCTACCATGTGTATGTAGTGTACTTTATCTAATTATCTTTTTATTATTTGATATCAAGGATTGTCCCAATTTTCTGCTAGCATACACTAAACTTTTATCTGTGACAGATTACTGTTCAAAGCTATTCACTCATTTCCATAGAAGAGTATGGGCCTTTCCGACGACATTAGGCCCGATCACATGATGTGCTTTGGACTCACTGTGGGTGGGGCTAGGGGGCTCAGTCACATGACACAGTTTGGCCAATGGGATGTTAGCAGACACGATGCTGCAGAGGAAGGAAGTCGCTTTGTGCAGTGGGGCTCCAGCACCAGAGGAACATGTCCTAGCTAGCCCGCGGGCCCAGGAGGAAGATGAGAGCCACACTGGGTAAAGCCAGCCCAACCACACTGCCCCACTGGCCCAGCCATGATTAGCTAACCCCCAGCGGACCAACCCAGGTGTCAGCTGTGTGTATTTCGCACGGCACGTATATTTTCTCATTATTTATTATTCAGTATCACTCTAGCAATAGACAGCTGATACAGCATCACAAATAGTTTCATTCGCTAAATCCCTGAAGATGGAATTGCAGTCAGAGTACCTGTTTTTGCTAACATTATATTCCCTGACACAGGGCCAGTGCCTGGGATGTGACAGATCAACGTAGTAGTTTTCACACATTTTATTTTTTATTTGGGGGCTTGGGGAACTTTTGTTAAAAAACAGAAACAAACAAAAAAGCCTTACACACAAAGCCTGGTGTGATACTTGCTCTGGTTAATGGGGTGTGGGGCAGGGCTAACCAAACCCCAAAACCCAACCAAACCCACTGCTGTCGAGTCAATTCTGACTCATAGCGACCCCAGAGGGTTTCCAAGGCTGTACATCTTTACGGAAGCAGACTGCTACATCTTTCTCCAGCAGAGCTGCTGGTGGTTTCGAACCGCCGGCCTTCTGGTTAGCAGTCCAGTACTTTAACCACTGCACCACCAGGGCTCCTTGGGCTAACTAAACCCACTCAAAAAATTGGCAGCCAAGTTCTGGCTCCCATGTCAACATCTGCACACAGAGAAAGCAGGCAGCGGGGACTACATCACTTGGGTTCTGCCTGCCTGTGGGTCTGCGACCAGCCGATCCCAAGCCTGTCTGCACATTACAGTCATCTGGGGATCTCTGAAAACCCCAAAGCCGGGCCATAGCCCACACCAACTAAAGCACACTCTCTAGGGTGAAGCAGCACCATAGTTTCTGAAGCTCCCCGAGCGATTCCAACACGCAAACAAGCCTGCAGACACTTGATTTAAACTCCTCTAGCCTCAGCTTGGAGCCCTGGTGCCGCAGTGGTTAAGAGCTGGGCTGCTAACCAAAAGGCCGGCAGTTGGAATCCACCAGCCGCTGCCTGGAAACCCTATGGGGCAGTTCTACCCTGTCCTATAGGGTCGCTATGAGTTGGAGTTGACTCAATGGCAACGGGTTTGGTTTTTGGGGGGTTTAGCCTCAGCTTAGGGAGTCCCTGGGTGGCACAACCAGTTAAGCACTCAACTGCCAGCTGGAAGGCTGGCAGTTGGAACCCACTCAGAGGTGCCTTGGAAGACAGGCCTGGTGATCTGCTTCCGAAAGTTTAAACCAAAAAAAAAAAACCCCATTGCCACTGAGCCGATTCTGACTCATAGCGACCCTGTAGGACTGAACAGAGCTGCCCCATTGGGTTTCCAAAGCTGTAAATCTTTACAGAAGCAGACTACTGCATCTTTCTCCCACAGAGCAAACGGCCGACCTTCCAGTTCGCAGCTGAGTACTTTAACCACTGTGGCACCGGGGCTCCTTTCTGAAAGGTTAACCTGGCCTTGAAAATCCTATGGAGCAGTTCTACTCTGCAAACGTGGCTTAGCTTCCTCAGGAGTAAAAACACCACTGAACTCTCAGGACAGCTGTGGATTATTAAATGAGAAGAATCACATGAGAAAAGTCTGTCAGCCATAACAGGCACAGACATGTCCTACATAACAATGAGGAGGACAGCTGCATGCTTATTAGTATAATCTGCCCCGTTCTACAGACAGGGAAACAGAGGCCCAGAGAGGTTTCTCAACTTGCCCATGGTCACACAGCTAGTAGGAAACAGAGCCCAAATTCTAACCCAGTGGTGCCCAGCTACCAGCACTGACTACTCTGACAGGCATCACAACAGATGGTTCCGGACAGAGCGGGAGAAAAACATAGAACAAAATTCAAATTCACAAAAAAAGACCAGACTTACTGGTCTCACAGAGACTGGAGGAACCCCCAAGACCATGGCCCCCAGACACCCTGCTAACCCAGCAATGAAGCCACTCCCAAAGCCCACTTTTCAGACAAAGATTAAACAGGCCTATGAAACAAACAATAACACAGGTGAGGAAACCGCTTCTTAGTGCAATCAAATATATGAGGACCAAATGGGCACCACCTGCCCAACAGCAAGGACGAGAAGGCAGGAAGGGACAGGAAAACTGGATGAACGGACACAGGGAACCTGGTGGGGGAAGGGGGTGGGTGCTGACACGTGGTGGGGATTGCAACCAACGTCACAAAACAATTTGTGTATAAATTTTTGAATGAGAAATTAACTTGAGCTGTAAACTTTCACCTAAAGCACAATGAAAAAAAATTTTCAAAAAATTCAAGCCCAGGCACTCTGGTTCCAGGACCCATGCTCTGAACCTCTCTGTTGTGCTGCCTCTTGGGGGTGGGAAAAGATGAACAAGGAAAAAACAATAAAAATCACCGTGAGAGCTATATACTTCCAAAGCACAAAAGGGACAACTGTCAACAATTACACCCAGAAGTAAAACAATGTCATAATAATCCAGAGGAGGGTGGGGCTGTACGTGGAAACAAAGCTGGTCAGGAGTTACTTATTACTAAGATGGCTGATGGGTATGAGGTTCAGGATGCTGTTCTCTCTAGTTTGTTTTACATTCTCCATAATAAAACATTTTAAAAATCAACACCGAAGATTTAAAAACCTATTTCCTATTCTACAGGCATCACTGTTATCCGCCATTTAGCTGACTTCTGTTTTTTTCCAAATAGAGGAACTGCGTCAGTGTGTCTGAGAAGACCGTCTTCTTCCTTTTCTAAACAATGGACTAGATGGTCTGGGTGATTCTGGGTAGCACCGTTTCCACGTCCAGGCTGGGGAAACCAGCCCGCTCCTGCTTCACCTGTCTCCCTCCTCGGCATTTCACCACGTGCCCGCTGCTCGGGGCCTCTGACAGAGGGATGCTCACGAGCCACAGACAAGCCGTTCGGTCAGCCACTTTAATCCAGCTGTCTTCAGCTGGAAAACTGACTTTCGGCTGTGAACAAGCTACCGGGAAGGCAGGGGAGCGCCATTCTCCATTTGCCTCTGTGGCTGCAAATAACTCAGTCATTAGAGAGAGAGGCTTCATTTACCGCTCTCTCCCATGCTCTCAGACATAACTTCTAAAAATTATTTTAAGTCATGGATAAAAAAGGAGCTAAACTGTATTATTCTTTATCTATTGTTTGTGCATTTTTTTTAATTGTACTTCAGATGAAGCTTTATAGAGCAAACAAGTTTCTCACTAAACAACATACATATTGTTTTGTGACACTGGTTGCCAACCCCACGACATGTCTACACTCTCTTCTCGACCTTGGGTTCCCTATTACCAGCTTTCCTGTCCCCTCCTGCCTTCTAGTCCTTGTCCCTGGGCTGGTGTGTCCATTCAGTCTCGTTTTGTTTTTTGGGCTGTCTAATCTTTGGCTGAAGGGTGAACCTCAGGAGTGACTTCATTTCTGAGCTATAAGGGTGTCCGGGGGCCATACTCTTGGGGTTTCTCCAGTCTCTGTCAGACCAGTAAGTCTAAGTCTTTTTTGTGAGTTAGGATTTTGTTCTACATTTTTTTCGAGCTCTGTCTGTAACCCTCTACTATGATCCCTGTTAGGGTGGTCAGTGGTGGTAGCCAGGCATCACCTAGTTCTTCTGGGAGGGTGTGGTATTTGTGCTCCATTAGTACTTTATTCTTTCCCTTGTGTCTTTGGTTAACTTATTATTCTTACCAGTCATAAGCAGTGATGTGGCAAGGAGGGACCCAGGCAATCCAGTACAGAAGTGGTAATGCCCAACAGTCACATGGGAGGGATGCCCAAAATTCAATGGGAACCAATTACAGAAAAATTCCCTTTTTTTTCCACTCCACGTTTTGGAGATAATCAACCTATTTAATAAGACTCCTTCGAAATCCTTATTTCAGTGATCCCACATTTGTTTATATGCTTAAATGCACCCCAAGGAGCTTATGAATCCTCGACATTTAGCACCACGCCTAGTACAGAACAGGTATTGAAAAATATTTGTGGAACGACAATAGAAGTCTCGGATTCTGTGAGTCAATCCCAGGAGCAAAGGGTTACCACAAGGGGGTGCCTTAGTTCACGATGACTGTGAGTATTGCTAAAGACCCTGAAAACTAGGCCATTTTTTATTCTTCCTCCACAAAAGACTAGACTGAACCAATATTTCTGAATCCACCGTCATTAAAAATGAGTTAGTCATCAAGCAAGGAAATGTGCATAGCCGCAGGGCAATGATCAAATACAGGAAATTTAATGTTGATATAATGGAATTATATAATGGAACTGGAGTCCTGGTGGCACAGTGGTGAAGAGCTCAGCTGCTAACCAAAAGGTCAGCAGTCTGAATCCACCAGCTGCTCCCTGGAAACCCTACGGGGTGGTTTGACTGTCCTATAGGGTTGCTATGAGTTGGAACTGACTCGACGGCAGTGAGTTTTTAATGTGGGATTAGCTTCTCCACTCCATAACGTTTAAGAGTAGAAAGATTTTCATTTCAGAAAACAAGAGATCCAGGTTTGTGCCTGGGTTCTACGTCACATTAGCTGTGAGACGTGGGGCAGGTAGCTTATTCTCTGAGCCTCGCTTTTTCACCTGTAAACGGGGATCATTCCCACCAACAGTTGATCTCTTTGGAATCCGGTGAGGACCCGTCATTTGTGAGTAAAGAAAAGCTGGGTTTCCAAGGCCAGGGTACCCCACCCTGGATGTAACCAGCTGCTTCTTGGTACAAGCAACCTTGAATTCCCATGTTTAAGCTCAGTGACTCATTACAGGGCCATGGCAGATAAAAACGCTCTCCTTGGCTTCACAGTCGTTCTGTGGTTGTTGAAAAACTTCAGTTCCACAGAACAGACTCCTTATATACAGCCCCCACTGCACTGGATGGTCTTAGGAATGTTAAGAGGGTCCAGGAAAAGCCCAACTATAGAATATACCAGAAATAGAAAACGTACACAGTCAAACACCAAATGCCCAGGCTCGTGGGGCCTGGGAGCCCCTCCCCAGCCAGCCCTTACCGATGGTGCTCTCACAGAACTTCTCTGCAGCCACCTCGCTGGCAATGTTGGCCCCCATGAGCACACTGATGTCAATGCTCATCTTCTCGCGGATGATGTCGGAAACGAGTTTCAGCCCGTCGGGGCCCTCATCTATCCCCTATGAGCATGTCAAGAAGTGAGGGGAAAACAAGTTATCAAGTTAAGAGGCGTCAGATAGTTCTGCTTTATAAAACATCAAGATTCAGATATCTGACGGCATATGCAACTAGGAAAACACCTCTTACCGACAAGAGTAAACAAATGTGTATGTACCCTGTAAAGAATGATAATAAAATGAAGACCCATGTACCAACCACTCCGGTTAAGAACTAGATGATAAGTGATATCACTCAAGTCCCCAGAATGTCCCCCCATCCCAACTTCCTCCTCCTTCTTCCCCACCAGGGTCAACTACTATCCCAAACGCTGTATTCATCGTTCCACTGCTTTTCTTGATCACTTTATCTCATATAACTGTCCCTAAGCGATATGTGGAAGCCCTGGTGGCACAGTGGTTAAGAGCTCGGCTGCTAACCAAAAGGTCGGCAGTTTGAATCCACCAGCTGCTCCTTGGAAACCCTATGGGGCAGTTCTAATCTGTCCTATAGGGTCACTATGAGTCGGAATTGACCTGAAGGCAACAGGTTTTTTTGGAAGCGATGTGTTATGTCATTATGTCTGTTTCGAGCATCTATGAATGCAACTGTACTGCTTGTGTGCAATGTGCTGTTCTTGCACTACATTATAATTTTAGAGACTCCCCACTGGCCTGCATGTAGTCCCAGTTTGTTCCTGTTCTCTGCTGCATAGTATTCCACCAGGTGGATAGTCCACAGTTTGCCTATCCATTCCAGTTTGTGCTCATGAACACTCATCTACGAATACCCTGGAACACAGTTTCTCTGGGGGCCTCTTAACCATTCTTACAGCATGGGCCTTCCCCAGCAGTCTGGTGACATTTATGGACGTCATCTCAGAATAGTATTTTCAAATGCATAAAACAAAATACACAGAATTACCCAGGAAGCCCATTATACTGCAACACAGTTACCAAAAGAGTAAAAAGACAAATTCGTGACAAAGTAACACAGGCACTATTTCATCCACATCTTGGTGAATCTGACACTTATAATTTCAAAGCAGCGATGAGTGTAAATGAGACTTTGACATACCTGAGACCCCTCTAAGGTGGTATGGAAATACCTGTGGTTTCTATCGGTGACAGAGTCACAGCTCCCGCTAATGCTACTATTCTTAAAACAGTGGTTTGTAGCCTACGTTCAGAAACGAAGGAAATGCTCATTTCAGATAGAGATTAGAATGAAGAAAAGTGAATTTTTTTTTTTTTCCACATTTAAGTGTACAAACTTACTGAATTCTGTCTACAGACCTTTGCAGGTGGTTCATGGACTTCTAGTTAAAAACCCCAGCTTTAGGGTACACACCCAGGAGCGGAATTGCTGGGTCTTAAAGCATGTGCATGTGTAATTTCTAAGCTGATGCAAACTGCTGGTGATTTGCAGACCAGAGGCTAAGATCGCTGACCGGAAGCTTCTTTCTGACAGTAAGGCTCCTCAGGAGGAACCCACCCTCTGATCACTGCAGCTGCTAATCTGCTTCAAGAGAAAACACCCCCTCTCCTAAATCTGGGCTGAACTAGCCTTGCGGGATGTAATGCTTTTGATTATCTCGCAAGCACCTAAAAAAATCAAAAAACAAGAACCAAAAAGCAATGCCACAACCTCCCCTTCAGCTCCACAAACAGACGGAGAGGGAGGGAAACGAAACGTCCCGGGAACCCACGGTGGGTGATGTCCTTCCTCCCCGTGTCTGTACACGAGTTACCTTGATGAGAGTGATTCCCAGCGCTTTCTCGGACACCCTCCCGGTGATCTCGTCACAGATTCTACGAATGAACTGGTGAGGGATGACAAACACCAGCAGGTCTGCGTCCTGCACGGCCTCGTTGAGATTTGAGACTGCAATCTGCAACGGCGAGAGGGAGGAAATGGTTACTTTTATATTATACCCCAAAGAAAAAACCAAACCCGTTGCCATCGAATCAATTTCGACTCATGGCGAACCCATGTGTTACAAAGTAGAACTGTGCTCCGTAGGGTTTTCTTGGCTGTAATCTTAATGGAAGCAGATTGCCATGACTTTCTCCCACAGCCCTGTCAAGTGGGTTCAAAATGCCAACCTTTAACAGTCGAGCACAAACCATTAGTGCCACCCCAGAGACCTAACATCACAATAAAACCAAAAACCAAACCTGTTGCCGTCAAGTCAATTCCGACCCATAGTGACTCTGTAGGACAGAGTAGAACTGAAGCCCTGGTTGCTCAGCGGTTAAAAGCTCAACTGTTAACCAAAAGGTCAGCAGTTCAAATCTACCAGCCACTCCTTGGAAACCCTACAGGGCAGTTCTACTCTGTCCTGTAGGGTTGCCATGAGTTGGAATCAACTCAGTGGCAACAGGTAATATCACAATAAGGCTATCAAAATCATTTCCTCGCTGACAATTCATCAGATGCCTACTATGTGCACAGCACTGTGCAAACAGACAATAAAGGCAAGGCTGGTGTGCACTCTGCCTTCCTCATTCAGAACGCGGGGGTTTGAAGCCAGGAGAGTTCTCCTCTGTCACTTACCACTGATGTGATCTGGCCAATGACCTACCCATGTGTGCAGAGCAGAACTGCTCCATGGGGTTTACAAGGCTGTGACCTTCGGGAAGTAGATCACTAGATCTGTCTTTTGAGGCACCGCTGGGTGGGTTCGAACTGCCAACCTTCTGGCTAGCAGTCAAGTGCTTAAACATTTGCACCACCCAGGGACTCAAGCTATTAGGAGGATCTCTTTCCTTCAGATAAATATGATGGGTTTTAAAACGTGGGGAGAAAAACCAACACACACACACACACACACACACACACACACACACACACACACACACACACACACACACACACACAGGCAGAGGAGAGGACATCTAGTGAGGACACGAGGGCACGGTTTCTACCAGCCTGTTGCTGCTGGTCGTCATCCATTCTCCCATCTCAGCCACAGAACTCCCAATATTAGTCTGGGTTAGCAACCACCAGGAGAGAAGGCTACATTCCCCAGCCACCTTGCATGTGACTAAGTTCTGACTAAAGGAATATAAACGGAAGTATTGCACGTGACTTCTGGGAAACGTCCCTGAAGGTCTTTCTTCCTCCTTCTGCCAGAAGGAATGTGGAAGAGATGGCTAAAGCTCAGACACTCATCCTAGACCATGAGGAAGCCACATACCGAGGAGGGCAGAACAGTAGTATAAAAGGGGTCTTGATGCTCATAGTCTCATGGCACCACTCAGTCAACTGGCATAATATAATTCACAAAGTTCATGTCCTGCATCCTAGTGAGGTGAGTAGCATCTGGGGTCTTAAAAGCTTGCGAACAGCCATCTAAGATACAATTACTGGTCTCTACTCGTCAGGAGCAAAAGAGTAAGATGGTAACCAAAATCATAGAGAAGAAATAAATCTACAAGGCTGATAACTTACACAAGCCACGACCTCAACTACTCTGAGGCCAGAAGAACTAGATGGTGCCCAGCTACCATGACTGACCTATCTGACCAGGGGCACAATAGATGATCCTCACTGGAATGGGAGAAAAATGCAGAACAAAACTCAAATTCTTAAAAATGGCCAGACTAACTGTGACCACTGAGACCAGAGGACTCCCCTGAGACTATCACCCTGAGATGCTATTTAAACCTTGCACCAAAACGATCCCCCGAGATCACCTTCTAAAAGAAAAGCAGAGTGACACACATAATAAAGGATATTACCAGTTAGATCGGTGCTCTACTAAAAACACATCTGAACGAGTCCAAAAGGTCAACACTGAATCCAAAGCAAAGATGAGAAGATAAGGAGGCAGGAAAACGAGACTACTGGAAATGGAACAACCAGAATACAATGAAAGAGAATGTTGACACAATGTGAAAAATGCAGCTAATGTCACTGATCTATTTGTGTGGCAACTGTCAGAGGAACCTACCTTGCTGTGTAAACTTTCACCAAAAACACAATAAAATATTATTTAAAAAAAAGGGGGGGGGTCCTGGTGCTACTATATTAACCATGGATATCTTTTATATAAAGAAAAAGAAAAGCAAACATTTACTTTGTTCAGATCACTGTTATTTTAGGTTTTCTGTCATAAGTAGCTTAACCTAACTGTATGTAAGAAAGTCTCCAATTAGCATTCCTGGTACCCAAAACGAAGGGACCTGGGTAAAGATTCTTCTCTGAGGAAGCTGTCTGTCTCAGAAATATTATTCATGATGGTAAGCCTCCTAGGCTGAAAATGCAGCATGACTCAAAATGAGAAGAAACAACTGCAAACATCCATTAATAATTGGAACACAGGATGTACAAAGTATGAATCCAGGAAAACTGGAAGTCATCAAAAATGAAATGGAACACGTAAAGATCAATACCCTAGGCATTAGTGAGCTGAAATGGACTGGTGCTGGCCAAAGATGAAGAAATGGAAGATTTTTACCAACTTCTGCAATCTGAAATTGATCAAAGATGCAATCAAGATGCATTGATAATTATTGGTGATTGGAATGCGAAAGCTGGAACAAAGAAGAAGGATCAGTAGCTGGAAAATATAGCCTTGGTGACCAAAATGACACCAGAGATCACATGATAGAATTTTGCAAGACCAACAACTTCTTCACTGCAAATACCTTTTTTCAACAACATAAATGGTGACTATATAAATAAGTGGACCTCACCAAATGGAATACACAGGAATCAAATCGACTATTATCTGTGGAAAGATGATGGAGAAGCTCTAGTATCATCGGTCAGAACAAGGCCAGGGGCCCAGTGCAGAATAGACCATCAACTGCTCACACACAAGTTCAAGATGAAGTAGAAGAAAATTAAAACAAGTCCACGAGAACCAAAGTATGACCTTGAGTATATCCCACCTGAATTTAGAGATCATCTCAAGAACAGATTTGGCTCACTGAACACTAATGACTGAAGAGCACACGAGTTGTGGGATGACATCAAGGACATCATACATGAGGAAAGTAAAAGGTCATTAAAAAAATGGGAAAAAAAGACAAGACCAAAATGGATCTCAAAAGAGACTCTGAAACTTGCTCTTGATCATAGAGCAGCTAAAGTGAATGGAAGGAATGATGACATAAAAGAGCTGAACAGAAGATTTCAAAGGACAAAGTAAAATATTATAATGAAACGTGCAAAGACTTGGAGCTAGAAAACCAAAAGGGAAGAACATGCTTGGCATTTCTCAAGCTGAAAGAACTAAAGAAAAAAATTCAAGCCTCGAGTTGCAATACTGAAGGACTCTATGGGCAAAATATTGAACAATGCAGGAAGATCAAAAGAAGGTGAAAAGAATACACAGAGTCACTGTACCAAAAAGAACTGGTCGATTCTCAACAATAACAAAGGAAATTTAGAAAAAATAAAAATGAAAACAATCAAACAAAAATGAATGAGGAAAGCTTCACATAAAGATAGGGAACAATTTCCAAGATACAGATTTTTAACTGAGAAAAGCAAGCTGCACAATGGTGCGTACAGTTTGCTATTATTTCCTTTTTTAAAACTGTTATACATATGCACAGAATCTCTCTGAAGTAATAACAAGCAGCTAATAACAATGGTTGCCTCTGGGCTGCTGGAAGACCAAGGTGGAAGAGAGACTTAATTTTCACTGTATATCTCTTTGTAACTCTTAAATTGTTTTTTCCTATTCACCTCTTAATAAAGAAAAAAAAAGCTGGCTGACATTCAACCATTTCAGGGGGTAGCATGATCAAGAACTGATGTTATTGAAGGAAGACGTCCAAGCTGCACTGAAGGCACTGGTGAAAAACAAGGCTCCAGGAATTGACAGAACACCAGTTGAGATGTTTCAACAAATAGATGCAGTGCTGGAGGCGTTCATTCATCTATGCCAAGAAGTCTGGAAGACAGCTACCTGGCCAACTGACTAGAAGAGGTCCACATCTGTACCCACTTCAAAGAAAGATGATCCAACAGAATGCGGAAATTATCGAACAATATCATCAGTATCACACACGAGTAAAATTTTGCTGAAGATAATTCAAAAGCGGTTATAGTAGTACATCGACAGGAAACTGCCAGAAATACAAGCTGAGTTCAGAAGAGAACATGGAATGAGGGATATCACTGCTGATGTCAGATGGATCTTGGCTGAAAGCAGAGATTACCAGAACCATGTTTACCTGTGTTTTACTGACTATGTAAAAGCATTCAACTGCATGGATCATAACAAATTATGGCTAACACTGCAAAGAATGGGAATTCCACAACACTTAATTGTGCTCACGAGGAACCTGCACATAGTCCAAGAGGCAGTTGTTTAAACAGAACAAGGGGATGCTGCATGGTGCAAAGTCAGGAAAGGTGTGCGTCAGGGCTGTATCCTTTTCCCCTAATTAAATCCTTTCTACTTCTCTGGACCTACTCTTTCTCCTCTTCCCCACCCACCCCCAACATACACATGTGCATGCATATACATACACACCAGCACACACACACGTACGGGCGCACACACACACACACATACACCCTTCCTTTTCCTTCTTTTCAGAGTATTTCTCAAGCTGGTGAAATGGAAAAGACACCTGAGCAAAGGAGAAACCATCTGGGTTTGAGTCCCACATCTGCAACTGACCACCTGTGTGACTTTGGCCAGGTGACTTAGCTTCCCTAAGCTCAGTCTCCCCATATATAGAATGGGAACAAAAATGACCTCTCGTACCTAACTCCTTCACAAGCTGCTTCACATGAAGTTACTTACATAAACGAGTGCTTTCAAAACTACAAAGACCTACACAGACGCAAGCGATTATTCATCAGAAAAATCAACCTGCCTCCTATAAATCCATAAACTTCTATTTTTTTCTCTCCCACCTCTCCCCTCCGTCGCAACCATCAGAGATTGTTTCTTCTTGTGTGTAAATCTTTTCATGAGTTTTTACGGTAGTGGTCTCATACGATACTTGTCCTTTGGTTAAAGCCATAAACTTTTATGAAGTCAGCCCACCCCCACGCCCCTTGTTTGAAAACATTCTCAAGGATGTTGGCAGCTGGTCAGGTTCTCCTCCTGTCTCTTACATTTCCTTCTTCAATAAATCACAGAACTCTGCAGTAGATAAGGAATGTGACGGGTCTACAGGGCAGTACGATTGGGGCTCACAGAGCATGTACACATCTTCCCATTTTCCCTGGCAAAATTCTTCGGCTTTAACTCAAGGAAGACCATGTAATATGAACTCCATGTGTATCCTGCACGTGGTCCCTGCACAGAACATTATGGCTGTTTCTCCACCATTACTCTGACATTGATAACCACTCAGAGAACACTCTTCCTCCCACACACTCTCAGAACCAGATCTTCTCGGTGAATGCTGTCACTTGATCCCCATCTCTCAGAATAAAACCTTTTGCTAAGTCGCTACCCAATCTCTTCCTCTGAAAAAAAAAATCCAGACGCCGCTTTGGAAAGGCTGACCCGTTTCACAGGCCTCCTGCCAAAATCTTTCTGAAGGTGCGTGCTTTCAAAGATCCTGAGAGATGCTGGAAGATGATTCACAGTGATGAGCCTTGCCTTTCCAAGGCAAGAAGGGCGAATGGTTCTGTGAGAACAAAGGCGTCCCGCTGAGCTGGCTAAATGGCCAGACTTCAGGGGTGCAGTGCTCGTGGTCCAGGATAATAAAAAACCCGGTAATAACAATCACCTAAAACAAGGCTGGTTAACTCTGGGAGGACACGCCTGAGGAGGCTTCAGTTATCACTGTGCACAGCCTGTGCTCAACATGCTTTTACATGTTAGCAACATCCCATCTGCAGTCACGTGAGTGGGCAGACAAAGGCCTCAATCCCACCGCTGCCGACTCACCTCCTGACCCTCCTACAGGGCTATGTATGGCCTTTGAAGCCAGTGAAATAAAAAAGCTTCCTAAATTCATTTGTAAGCATAACTATAAATAGGCTCATTGGATCAAATTTGGAAAACGGCAAAAAAAAAAAAAAAACCCAAAAGTTTACTCGAGAAAAAAGAACTGCTCCTAAAATGATGCTCATGAAGAGTGTGCTTCTTAGCTCAAGTAGATACACGAAACTAAATGGGCAGCTTCTGTCCGGAGGTGAGATGGGAAGGCAGACAGGGTCAGGAGCTCGGTGAATGGACACGGGAAATCAGGGGTGGAAAGGAGGAGTGTGCTGTCACAGTACAGGGAGAGCAATTAGGGTCACAAAACAATTTATCTATACATTTTTGTATGAGAGACTAACCTGAATTGTCAACTTTCACTTAAACTACAACAATTAAAAAAAAAAAAGAACTGCTCATAATCCCAGCACCAGAAATAATCACTATCAGGATTCTGCCCTATTTCCTTCCAGGTCTTTCTAAGTCTATGGCAATATCTAAAGCTGTATTTATAGAACTAAAATCAGACTTTTATGTTTTTTTCATATAATATTATAGCATGAGAACATTTCCTACCACTCAAACGATGATTTCCCTCCCAATCCATTAACATTTCCACGTTCCTGTTCATTCCAATATCACAGTAACAATGAAGAAACACCCACAACCCAAAGAAAAGATACGAAGGCTGTCCTTGTTTTTACCTGATCTCTTAAGGCCATTAAAATTGTTTCTAGCTCACGTCTGCATGAAGCCACCTGCTGAAACAATTTTGGTAGGTAACAAGTGTGGCACGGCTTAAAAATGGTCTGGCTGTGGTGGGCAAGGCGGGGCACCTCGGCCTGGCTCCACCACCAGCTAGAAACCTGGACACCAGGGGCAACTCACCTGCATTCTTTGAGGAGTGAGTATTCAGATTCAACACAGTACTGTGAGTAAAATACAAAGCAGTGCCTTTTACACAGTTCCCGCCGCCACCCAATCGCTTCTGACCCACGGTGCCTCACGTGCGTCAGAGCAGAACTGCGCTCCACAGGGTTTACAGTGGCTGATTTTCCAGAAGCAGATCACCAGGCCTTTCTTCTGAGATGCCTCTGGGTGGGCTCCGATCTTCAAACTTCAGTTAGCAGCCGAGCACGTTAACCATTTGTGCCATCCAAAGACTCCCGTTCACACAGTAACAAAAAACCCAAACCTGTTGCTGTCAAGTTAATTCTGACTCATGGCAACCCCATGTGACAGAGGAGAACTGCTCCACAGGGTTCTCAGCTATAATCTTAACAGAAGCAGATCGCCAGACCTTTCTTATGCGGTACTGCTGGGTAAGTCTGAACTGCCAACCTTGAAGTTAACAGTCGAGCGCAAACAGTATGCACCACCCAGGGGCCTTCACATAATAGAGCGAAGGGCACAAAGCCAAGTGGGATAAACACAATAATGAAGCGTGTGCCTTACAGAAGAGGAGGGGCAATCAGTGCTGACAGGGACGAGAAGAGTGAAACTCTGAGGGATTTTCCACTCCCAGGATGGACGAGAGATGATCCCAGGAGCCTCTGGCTGCAGCGGAAATAGCTGCTTATTTTATTCTTTCCATCAGATATTTGGACAACTTAATTTCCAAGCACACAACTCTACAGATCCTGCCTCCCCTGACCAACAGTACCAAGAATGACCGGGGGGAAAATGCCAGCTGGCCCTAGTTCTGTGACACAGAGGAGAACGTCATCATCTTCTGAAGGAAGTGACCTAGCTCGTTCAGGAAGGAGCCCACCAGGATTCAAATCCCAACTCTAGCCCCTAGCTATGTGACTTTGGGCAAATCCATTAACCCCTCTGAGCCTTGGTTTCCTCACCTACAAAATAAGGATCATCGTAATAGGAAAAACAATAGTATCGACCTAACAGGGTTATGGAGAAGCCCTGGTGGCGCAGTGAATAAGAGCTCAGCTGCTAACCAAAAGGCTGGCAGTTCGAATCCACCAGCCACTCCTTGGAAACCCTATGGGGGCAGTTCTACTCTGTCCTACAGGGTCGCTATGAGTCAGAATTGACTCAACGGTAACGGGTTTGGTTTGGGGTTTAATAGGGTTAGGGGATTAAATACACAGTATATGTAAACTACTTAGCACAGTGTTTGACGATGATAAACATTATAACTAGAAGCCAAATAAAATCTTCAGTGAAGCCTGAGCCTCTGTTAAGGGTGATGGAAAAACCTGGAAATGGATAATGGCAATCACTGAACAACAGTGAAGAGTCATTAACGTCACGGAATCAACCAGACAGACGAAAAATGTTAAACAGCAAATGCTTTGTTACCTATACATTTACCACAATAATTTCTTTAAACAAATGAAATAAAGCAATCCATGCTCCCACAGGGGGAAAAGTCTTTAGTGAGCAAGATCTTTGCATCTCCAAACTTCCACTGGCTTACAAGCGGTCTCCCTTGCTCAACCCCTTGGAAGAAGCAATGCCATCTTCTTCCTCTGTCGCGAGCTCCCACACCATGCTCTGCACACACAGTGCATACTCATCAAGGTTTGGGGACAGAATACGTGTAGCTGAGGGTATTTCATTAACAAAGGAGAAGAGCTGCAGGACTCGGGCAGCCACAACTGTCTGGTTTGCAAGCAGACTATTACAGAAAGCCACCAAGTGGTGAATCCAGCAGCAGAAGTTCCTAAATTCTGGACAAGTGGCAGAGTACACCCTTCTCAACCCTCAGGCTGGCTCCTTCGTTCCCCGCCAAGTTAGTGGAATGAGGCCAGGTAGTAACCTCTATTTTTCCCTCCCAGACCTAATAAGCTTGAATTTTAAACTGTCAGTCTTACAATGTCCAATTTTCTCTTATCTCCTGCTATAATTTAGGCCTTGAACCTGATTTTAATGGCTGACCAGTTGCTTCAGCTGTCCCGGCGAGCTGATCAAAGCTGCCTGCACCGAGAGAAGGTACCCTGGGAGCTACCGAGGCACACAGGCAGCCAGAGGAAGGCTGTCAGTTCCAGCTCGAACGTGACCCGCACTCGGAACGCCAAGCCCATTTTCAGAGTCAGGAAAGCCACACTCCACCACCCAACCAATGACGTGGCAGTAAAAAGAACAGGGGAAAGAGGAAGTAGCTTTCCCTCTTCCCCAAGTCCCCTGTGCCGCCTTATACGTGTGCTAACTTTCAGAATGGACCTTCAGACACACCTGGCCTCCCAAAGTCTTACCACATTGTCTGGCAGCTTGTGTCCAGGGAGATATTTTACATTTTCGTGGTCATTATTTATGATGTCTGTCAGTTTTCTCCCGTTAACCGTTTCTTCAAAGACCCACATCTTGACTGTGGAAGCAAACTTCTGAAGTTTCTTGACATTATTGCCAATTATCTTTGCCACGGCTGAGCCCCTGCAAAAGGAACCATGGGGAAAAGAAAAAAAAAAAAAAAAAATAAGCTCACTTGGGCAGAAGAGAAAAGGCATTAGATCAACATTCAGAAGACTCGTGTTCTGCTTCTGCCGCATTCACCGAGTTGACTCAAGATGTGATGTTTATCAGCCTCGGGCCATTTGATTCTTAGTTGTTTTCACCTGGGAATACCACCCTCTGGGATCACGAAAGGCCCCAAATTTGGTACTAGGTCAAAACGCAACACCGCGTAAAACTGTTGGGGCCAGTGGTGGTTCAATGGTGGAATTCTCACCTTCTACACGGAGAGCAGGATTTGATCCCCGGCCAATACACCTCATGCACAGCCAACACCCGTCTGTTGGTGGAGGCTTACGTGTTGCTATGATGCTGAACAGGTTTCAGTGGAATGCCCAGACTAAGACCAACTAGGAAGAGAGGCCTGGCAATCTACTTCCAAAAGTCAGCCAGTGAAAACCCTATGGATAAAAGTCATCTGATCCCACTGTGCACGGGGTCGCCACCAGTCGGGGGGCCTCAACGGCAGCTAATAACAACAACAACTTGAACGTGGTAAGAATCAACCTCTTCTGAAGGAGAGTATCCCAGGCAGAAGAGAAATTGCCTACAAGCTGGAAAATGACACTAAAGGGTTTGTGAGCCTCCACGGAGACTCGATGATATTTCAAATCCACCAAGGAGACTCAAACGTGGCTACCATAAAATAAACTGTGCTCTGATTAACTCCAACAGGCCCAAGGTGGGGTCACCACTGAAAGACAAGAACTGGAGTGGATTCCAGAAGAGAAGCAAAGAGTAAGAGCGTGGGGTTCCGCTGCCTGAGTCATCTGGTCCCCCCGGCAGGCATCGAGCTGACCTCTAGCCTCCCAAACTCCCTTTTCTCTGCATCTCCACTCACCAAATATATTCTGGTAATTAATCTGTCTCCCACTGGCCTTCCTACTACGGGAGAATGAACTCCAGGTCATCAACACTAGTCCTTCGGACAGCGCCACGGATCTGCCCCTAACCACTGAGGAGAGCTGTTGGTAGGTACACCCACTGTCTCAGAATTCTCTCCCACGGCATCTACTGAGTGGACCGTGAGCCAGGAGACCCCAGCACTGCTGATCGGCCAGGAGTGGACCCTGATCCTGGCTGATCCATCTCCCTCAGGACTTTGAACGGAGAATAGCTTGTTTCTTAAACAATTTCCCTGTTATAAACAGCAGATGAAAAAACATGGTGAAGGAAATCAAACCCACTGCCGTCAAGTCGATTCTGACTCACAGCAACCCTACGGGACAGAGCAGAACTGCCCCATAGGGTTTCAAAGGAGTGGCTGGTGGATTCGAACTGCTGACCTTTCTGGTGAGCAGCTGTAGCTCTTAACCACTGCGCCACTAGGGCTCCTCTCATTATTTTTTCTAACAATTACTCTCAAGACAATCAGGTGGCATGGAGTAGGGGGTGATAACAGTAGGGAAAGGGGAAACACACTGATGCAGAGGAACGTATCGGAGACATCACCCTCGCTGCCGGATCCACCCGTCATTCCCACTCAACCCTAACTCGTCCCAGCATGTAAACCCTTTGTGCTTCAACAACCAGGAAGAGTCAAATAAATCTAAGACACAGCATACTTATTTTCCTTGCAGTGGTTAAGAGATTAGCTGCTAACCAAGAGGTCGGCAGTTCAAATCCACCAGCTGCTCCTTGGGAACCTTCTGGGGCAGTTCTAGTCTGTCCTAGGGGTCACTATGAGTTGGAATCAACAGCAACAGGTTTTGAGATAGAATGGATAAACTAAACCAGTGGTTCTCAATTTCAGGTGCACATTAGAATCTGTTGTTGTTGCTTTGTTGTTATTTTGTGCTGTGTAGTCGATTCTGACTCATAGCGACCCCATGTGACAAAGCAGAACTGCCCCGTAGGATTTCCTAGGCTGTAATCTTTATGGGAAGAGATCACAGAGTTTCTCCTCCCACAGAACTGCTGGGTGGGTTGGAACCGCCAACCTTTTGGTTAGCAGTCAAGCACTTAACCATTTGTGCCACCAGGCTCCTTCACATTAGAATTACTGAGTTCCAGGCTACACCCCAGGCCAATTAAATTAGCCTCTCTAGGTGGAGTCCGGCAGCAGTAGATTTCAAAGCTCCCCAGTTAAACCAGCTGCCATCAAGTTGACTCTGATTCATGGAGACCTCACGCGTGTCAGAGGAGAACTGCACTCCACAGGGTTGTCAATGGCTGATTTTTTTGGAAGTAGGTTGCTAGGCTTTCCTCCAAGAAAACTCTGGTAGACTTGAACCGCTGGTTAGCAGCCAAGAGCATTAATCAACTGCACCACCCAGGTGACAAATTTCCCCAGTGACTCTGACGTACAGCCAAGGTTGAGAACCACTGCTCACACCGCGACATAAAACGTTGATAGCATCCTCTCTGACAAAAAGGATAGCTATGCATATTAAGGCTATGTGGCTTTACCTGTTGTCTTAGTTATCCAGTGCTGCTGTAACAGAAATACCACAAGTGGATGGCTTTAACAAAAAGAAATGTATTCTCCCACAGGCTAGGAGGCTAAAAGTCCAAATTCAGGGCACCAGCTCCCAGGGAAGGCTTTCTTTCTGTGGGTTCTGGGGGAAGGTCATTGTCTTCAATCTTCCCCTGGTCTAGGAGCTTCTCAGCACAGGGACCCTGGGTTCAAAGGATGCACTCCACTCCTGGTGCTTCTTTCTTGGTATGAGGTCCCTTTCTCTATGCTCCCTTCTTTCTCCTTATATCTCTTGTAAGATAAAAGGTGATGCAGGTCACACCCCAGGGAAACTCCCTTTACACTGGATCAGGGCTGTGACCTGAGTAAGGGCATCCCACCCTAATCCTCTTTAACATAACCTAATCTTGCCTTATTAACCACAGGCAGAGATTAGGATTTACAACACATAGGAAAATGCCATCAGATGACAATATGGAAGGTAACCACACAATACTGGCAATCATGGCCTAGCCAAGCTGACACACATTCTGAGGGGACACAATTCAGTCCACAATACCTGTGAAATTTGTATTCTATGCCAGCAGGACGGTTCATTAGCTAAACGCTCGTAAACCCAGTTCTCCTCCTGATGCTATAGAAAAGAGGTCAGGAATCTCCTCACTGTCACTATCACCTCTATTCTAATTCTCGAAATAGCTGCTCACCTACTTCCAGGGAGAAGACAGCTTGGGCTCCCAGTACTCCCTGGCACTGAGCACCTTACACAAGGTCAAAGAGAACAAGCACGATTCTGGCGGACGGAGCAACAGCTGAAGGGGGTCTCTGAGACACTAGGAATCTAGTAAATCGATTAGGAAAAGAAATCAGAGCCCCTAGCTTTTAATAACACATTATCTAATACAATATCAAAGGCGCAAACACCAAATGACAGAATAAAGAAACAGACCTCATCAAAATTTTAAACTTCTGCTCATCAAAAGACTATCCAAAAAAAGTGAAAAGACAAGCCACCAACTGGGAGAAGATCTTCAGAAACCCTGTTGTCTGACAAGAATCTAATATCAAAATATACATAAAACTTTGACAACTCAACAACAAAAAGACAGATAACTCAAACATAAAATGGGCAAAGGATGGAAACAGACATTTAAACATAGAGGACATTCAAACGGCCACCAAAACACATGAAAAGATGCTCAGCGTCATTAGCCATCAAAAAAAAAGAAACCCACTGCCGTTGATATTGAGTTGATTCTGACTCATAGCAACCCTATAGGACAGAGAAGAACTGCCCCATAGGGTTTCCAAGGCTGTATATCTTTACTGAAGTAGATTGCCACATCCTTCTTGCACAGAGCAGCTGGTGGGTCCGAACCTCAGACCTTTCGGTTAGCAGCCTAGTGCTTTAACCACTACGCCATTAGGGCTCCTTCATTAGCCAAAAGAGAGATGCAAATCAAAACCACAATGAGACACCATTTCACTCCCACTAGGATGGCTAAGATGAAAAAATAAATAACAAATGCTGGCGAGCGTCTTGGTCATCCAGTACTGCTCTAACAGAAATACTACAAGTGGATGGCTTTAACAAAGAGAAGTTTATTCTCTCACAGTCCAGTAAGCTACAAGTCCAAGTTCAGGGCATCAGCTCCAGAAGGTTTTCTCTCTCTGTCAGCTCTGGAGGAAGGTCCTTGTGATGCATCAGTCTTCCCTTGGTCTGGGAGCATCTCGGCACAGAAACCTCAGGTCCAAAGGACGTGCTCTGCTCCCGGCACTGCTTTCTCGGTAGGGTGAGGTTCCCATGTGTCTCTGCTCACTTCTCTCTTTTATATTTCAAAAAAGACTGGCTTAAGACACTATCCAATCTCGTATACCTTATCAGTATAACTCCCACTAATCCATCTTATTACATCATAGTGATAGAGCTTATAACACATAAGGAAATCACATCAAATTATACAATCATACAATACTGGGAATCATGACCCAGCCAAGCTGATACACACATTTTTTGGGGGGACACAATTCAATTCACGACAGGGAGGATGTGGGGAAATTAGAACCCTGAGACCCTTACCCATTGCCAGTGGGAATGAAGAATGGTACACTCATTGTGGAAAACAGCATGGCAGTTCCTTAAAAAAACAAAAATAGAACTACCATATGACCCAGCAATTCCACTCCTAGGTATATACCCAAAGACTTGAAAACAGAGACTCAAACAGAGACTTGTATGCCAATGTTCACTGCAGCACAATTCACAATGGCCAAAAGGTGGAAACAACCTAAACGCCCATCAACAGAAAACTGGATAAACAAAATGTGGTACATACATACAATGGAATAGTACTCGACTAGTAGGAGAAATGAAGTCTTTACACATGCTACAGTATGGATGGAGCTAGAAGACAGTGTGCGGAGTGAAATAAGTCAATCACAAAAGGACAAATACTGTATGACCTCACTTATGTAAAAAGACAAAAAAAGGCAAATGTAAAGAGAA